ATTTTCATATTTCACTAAACAATTCCAGAAAACTATGTACATGTTATTACCTGAACAGGTTAGATCTATGCTTTCCTTCTCAAGTTCCAGAATGAGTTGTTTCGTCTGTATGCTATAAAAACTGTTCTTTCATAAATTTCTGAAAAGCTCCCTATCAACAAAAAAGCACCAACTGCTTTCTGTCATTTGCTGGTGAGATCAGCTGTAAAAATTATATCCTGTGGATCAGTTTGGAGGCACTCAATTTGGAAAAAACCCATAAAACTGATGGAAGATTTAACAGAAATGGAGGCAACTTGGGAAACAAATTATTTCAATACATTAATTTTATCATCTTTTCAAGTATAAATGATCAACAGCTGTCATGTGATTTGTGCCTTATATTAGTTATGCCATGTAATATACCAAACATGTAGCCTGTATAAACATTTACATATCTGTAGCTGATTCTTTCCTTCTGTAAGCAATTTACTTTGTTCATAGAACTCGCGGATATGATTTTACATTCACAGATGTGCTATGTCTGCCATCCATTGTCTCTAATTGCAGGATAGAGGGATTTCCCCTTAATTAATGTCAGGAGAAAATATGATTTTATGATTGATTCAATCAATAATGTGAAAAATTAATTGTATCTGTATTTGATGAATTTTGTAACATTTCACAGTATAATAAAAATATCTCTAACATAAAAATGCATCGAATAAATTGTGAATTAGAAAAAAAGATACCAAGAATCAGGCATGTTCATTATTTCATTAAATTAGGACCCCCGAATGATAACAGTGAAGCATACAGAAACACACAAAAAATAAAACACAATCATGGGCTTTATATATATATATATATATTCACAAATGATAGATAGATAGATAGATATAGACAGACAGACAGACAAACAGACATACAGGTTGGCTGACTCATTGATTGATTGATTGATTGATAGGAAATGACATACATATATTCTTTATTTCTAGTGCCTGATATCACTGAACAAGCTTGGAGTTACACTGTCTCCAACCTCCAAGATCACTCTACTTGATGAATGTGCCATACAGAACAAGCAGACCATCATCAAAGCACTCCAGACATGTCCCTTATGCAACCTGGTTGGTGACAACTGTGATATAAGGATCCGTACTAGGCATCAGGCATCAGATCACCAAGTCCAAGAGTGCCATTACTTTGCCATCCTGCTCTTTTTTTTCAAGGCTTGCAGAAACAGCCTTGAACCAGTCATTGAGGAATCCCTTCACCAGTCCCACGGATCTAACACCAGAAAAATTTCTTCTTACAACTGCCAGAGAGAGGATGTTACTGCTGCAGTCTTACAAAGTATTAATGGGACGGCGGTTAGCCAAATACATCCCTGCCCTGGAGTGGATGGCATCTGTTTTGCCTGATCATATTCCTCACAGGTACTTCAGTCAAAGTTGTTATTTAAAATCTGTTCAGTTTTATATTTCTGAAATCGGTAATGGTTACATCTTACATCACTCAGTTGTAAGCCAACTTTTATAACACACTATGAGAAGGGGACCTTTATAATGCCATTGCAGATATGACATTATTTAATGTGTGCACATTTGAAACTATGTTTTGTTTCTTACTTTTGAACAAAACAGATTCTCTGACACAATGGCAAAGAAGTCCATCATAGTGCCATCAAGATTGATGATACTGAACGAGGCAAAGTACGAAGACTGCGTACAGATCCTGGACAATACGGAGGACATTTTGAGGGAATCTTTTTCTGAAGCATTAGGTAAGTTAAGAGATTTTTACATAAAATGTTTGTAATCACAAGGAGAAAAATACAAATAAGTTCTTGTAAACAGTATTTTGGTTGCAACTTACCAGCACGGACACCATACCATAATGTTTTATCTCTTGGCATAACATTATGTATATGCATAGGTGCAGCAATTATAGGTAATTGTTATACTGAGCAATGGTTGTTGTGAATTGGATGCACAATGGAAGATACTCATAGGTGGATCCATGAATTTTTAAATGTGGGTGGGGTGGGGGTAGGGTGTCAACCTTGACACCCCACCTCCCTCCTGAATCCACCAATGCAAAACATTAACTTCAATGTGGTCCTAACTAGTCTTGGTAAATTGATGATCATTGTTCACAAAATAGTGTTCTGTATATGTTTCAATGCAGGTTCATCAGCTGAGCTTGAGAAACTAAAAGTGCCATTCTGGGGTGATCAACTAACACGGATACAGTATGCCAAGCCTTTACGGGCACATGTACCAAATCCCATCAAGAGATTTGAAGATGTTGGCCCTTTCATGTGTACAATGTGGCACAACAAGCAGGATTTCTTGCATGTATGCCAATATTATTTCAACATGGTCATTTAATTGTAAGTTAATGTAATAAAGCCTGTGTAATTAAATTCATGTAATCATGAACACCCACTCTGAATCTATCTATATCTATGGATGGGTGGATGGAGGACAGTTAATTCATTTGATAAAACTGTGCCTGATCATATGATGTATGTGAAATTATAAGAAGAATACTTGTATGTCATAAAGATTTGTTAATGAAATCATCTGTGATCATTTGCTACGAAAACAAGATTTCTTCTTTTAATTTCAAAAAGCCTACAGACGCTTCTATAACAAGAATTCCGGGCGAGATAGAGGAAGTCTGTTTCACTTCAAGGTGTTTCTGCGCCGAACAAGCGTAGACGGCCAGGTGAAAAACAACTATACTGGCCATGAAGAACTGTTTCTCCTTATTGGCGACATGTTTGTGGTGGAACAGGCTCTGGAATACCTGGGTATGGAAACATATGACTCTCAACCAACAAAGGTAAATTAATATGACAACAGACATTATCTTACCTTCATGCAAAATACTTTAATTTAAATGGTCAATGACGCTTTAACAAGTCTCCGTGTCACCCCTCCCAGGAGGATGACAACTGGTAAAATATGAACTGGTGCCACAGTAACCGGCAAACTCTCAGCCAAGAAGCTGTATCACTAACAATCGTATGACATCATAATATGTCCCTTGCTCATCCACCACCATGTTTAGTAGGCGCTGGGAGATTAAATAGCCAAAAAAGTAGGATGACGAGATAGGGTGAGCCAAAACCTCCCTCGTCATACTACTTACATGGACAATCCCATTGATTGGTCATGTTCCTGAAAAGGGCTTGGTTTTAGAAATATTTTTATTGATACAATCAATTTATTAATGGGTATTCTTAAAATCTGACTGCAGTTACTAAGTGGAATGCTGTTGAAACATTTTAATGGATCTTATTTTGATATCTTCAGATCATTATTCCGGACAACATCATGAGATTACCAAGACACACAAGAGCTGATCTGGCGGACAAAGTCCTCATTGGGATACTGAATACCTATGACTATGGGAATTTTAGCTTGGCACAACATCAGGAGAGTTCTATTAATCCACCTATACACAACAAGATACAGACTGTGCATGTAGTAAATGGCCTCACTCCTGATGGTGAAATAATTTTCAGCCAACAGGATGTTCCGGTACAGGAGGACGAAGTCCTCAGCTATTGCAACAATCTTGCTCAATGGGCAATGCAGCTTATGCATATGAATGACACTGCCAAGGAAGGAGATATTGACAGAATGGTGCTTGGCTGTAAAGCCAACATACCATTCTTTTACTCACACAGTAAACTTTCAAAATATTTTGTTGAGAACATTGGTATTTTGCTGAAGACTCAATTCCTAACATCGCCACAAATGCAGCTACGACTTTTGGAAGGAAGCTTTGTCAACCCACGGGGCGGTTTAGGCAACAATGTTGAGACTGACCTTGTCATGGAGCATTCAGTAAGAAACAAAAAAGATCTCATTCGTCAACTTGGGGCCAATAAAACAGAAAAGGCCATACAACGAGCATCTTTGGCAGCTGACACAGTGGCGAAGCTTACATCATCGATCAACCAAAGCATTGGCACCAGGTCAAAATCATCTCGTCACACAAAACGGGATTCCGAAGTTGACAGGAAAAAAGTTCAAGATGTTTTCCGTGAACTGCGTCCATTTCAATTCATGGCTGGTAGGAGGTTCCGAGGAGGAAATTATCAGCACAGCTCCAATTTTCATGGCATCAATCTTCAGGCAATGAGAACAGACATGGAACGTGTCATCACCAGATTGTGTAGGGGACAAATGATGGAAGTGAATCCTGATGATGAATATGAAGAAAATGATGGTTTGCCATCTATTTGACACTGTATGTAATGACATTCAAATTGTATGCCATGCCTTCATGATCCTCATTGGCCTGAAGGTGTTTTCACCTACTTACATTTAAATATCTTAATCTGCATATTTCTTACAAGTAATACATTCATGTCTCTGAATTTTGGAAACAAATTCATGTAGTTTAACCTATATGCCTCACCAAACATGTGAAGTTCTGTATGTCATAATCATGTACTTAAGGAATTAATATATGACATATACATAAGGAAAAAAATTAAGCATCCCCAGTATTTTTTCAGAATTGAATATGAATTAAAAGTGTTGTTGGGCATTTACTATAAGGCACATTTTTATTCTAGTAGTAAATTCCAAGGTTAACCTTTGACATCGCCAGGCTCTTGCCAGGCACCCATAGCCATTACAGCCTTGTCACTCACGGGCTGATAACATCTTCACTGCTGAGGAGTTTTGGAGGTTTGTGCCCCAGCCTTTAAGTTACCACAAATTGTCACAAAATCAAGTTTGACAAGCAACCCCGGATCATTATCAAACCACCACCAAAGGCAACTGTTGGAAGGTTGTTCCTAGATGCCAATCCTGTATTTTGCCGTCACCATACTCCCACCCAACCATCAGTACCATGCAGTATAAATCTGCTTTCATTCGACCAATGAACACTAAGTCATGTCCTTAGATTCCACCCTCTACACGCCAAGCACCATGCTAATCTGAGTCTCTTGTGGTGATCTTGCAGTAAGGGCCTTTTGATAGGTTGGCTGAACCTCAACCCAGCACGTTGCAGGCGATTTCGAACAGTCCTGGATGACAAATGATGGTCGGATACGAGAGACCCATCTGAACTGTAATTGAGGCAAATGGATTAAGTCGTACACGTCTCACTAATGCTCTGTCCTCACACTGATTAGTCTTAGGCAGTCTCAAGGATCCTGGTATGTCCCTCACATGGGTTGTTTGCTGCAATTTCACGTCCTATTGCTTAATGTAAGACAAACCAGCGTTCTGCATTCCAATCAATTGGCAATTTTGTGCATGGAAGCATACTGCATTTGGAGAAAATCGTGCATTGTGTTCTTGCGATTACTCTCAGGATGTGTTTGAGCAACACACCTGACTAATTGTCACAGAATCCCATAGCAATCGTACCATTTTAGTCACATGAACCTTACAGCACTGTTTTTTAACTGTTGCAAACATATCGTCAGTTACAAAAGGGGGTGCTTCACTTTTTATCTTACTTAATATATAACACAAACATTATTGATGTGACAGAAAACAACCCTTCCAGATGTCAGTAGCAGTAAAAAAAGCCTGGCAGTCGAAAAATAATTAACAATTGTCATGGTCAGCATGATGAACATGATTCAATTTATTAAAAACTTAAGTACTGGACAACGTACAAGTTGATGATATACATATACTCATGTTATTATTGACTCGGGGTCAATAATGTCAATATGCAGTATCAATAATAGTGCTTATGTGGGAAAATTGAGTCATGTGGATAGTTCTGGTTCCTGCATAATTGATCATTAGTATCCAGTATGTACAAATTGATGATGTAAATATACTCCTCTTAATTACTGGACAATGTACAGGTTGATGATATACATATGATCATGTTATTATTGACTCAGGGTCAATAATGTCAATATACAGTATCAATAACAGTTCTTATTTTAAAAATTTTATTATTTGGATAGTTCTGGTTCCTGCATAATTGATCATTAATATCAATGTATGCAAATTGATGCTTGTATTTTTCCCTCTTCATGGATGTCAATCTCAACGCCACATCGTATGATCATGTTATTATTGACTCAGGGTCAATACAACTCTTGCTATATCACTAGGCGGGACCGAGTTATTGTTGCTAATTGATCTCATCCTAACGAGGTTGATGATTCACAGTTCTTAATTACTGGACAATGTACACATAGTCACAGTACTTTGTCAGGGTGAATAATGTCAATATACACGTTGCTGTACCCGCAACTCAGGTGTTTGCACGTATTCATGTGGCCACCATCTGGTCATACACCAACGGATTCGTGGGTTCTTTTAAGTGCACAGGGTTGTGTACTGTACACTTATGTGGGAAAATTGAGTCCTTTGGATAGTTCTGGTTCCTGCATAATTGATCATTAATATCCAATATGTACAAATTGATGATGTAAATATACTCCTCTTAATTACTGGACAATGTACAGGTTGATGATATACATATGATCATCTTATTATTGACTCGGGGTCAATAATGTCAATATACAGTATCAATAATAGTGCTTATGTGGGAAAATTGAGTCCTTTGGATAGTTCTGGTTCCTGCATAATTGATCATTAATATCCAATGTGTACAAATTGATGATGTAAATATACTCCTCTTAATTACTGGACAATGTACAGGTTGATGATATACATATGATCATGTTATTATTGACTCAGGGTCAATAATGTCAATATACAGTATCAATAATAGTGCTTACGGATAGTTCTGGTATGTGGATAGTTCTGGTTCCTGCATAATTGATCATTAATATCCAATATGTACAAATTGATGATGTAAATATACTCCTCTTAAGTATTGGACAATGGACAGGTTGAGGATATACATATGCTCATGTTATTATTGACTCAGGGTCAATAATGTCAATATACAGTATCAATAACAGGGAAAATTGAGTCATGTGGATAGTTCTGGTTCCTGCATAATTGATCATTAATATCCAATATGCACAAATTGATGATGTAAATACACTCCTCTTAAGTATTGGACAATGTACAGGTTGAGGATATACATACCCTCATCCTTTTATTGACTCGGACTGAATAATGTCACTATATACAGTCTCAATTTCAGTGCTTATGTGTGAACATTTAGATTGAAATGTATGATAGGTGTATTTTATTAAACCAGACATGTATAACTAACTGTATTTTGCAAAGACAGTTTTGCAATTAATTATATGTATTCACAATTAAGAATTACAATAATGTATATTTCAAACAATTCTTAAATGATTCCAACAATACAAATGACTTTGAATGCTTCCAAACAATCTGTTCTTATTTCACCTTTGTTTTTAAAAGTCCATATATAGTGCCTACAATGGGGGCTACTTCACAAGAAAATTGAGCACAACTCACACTGGCACTGAACTGCACAGTTGGATCAACATCTGCATTTATTCAGTGTAGCAACAGGCTTTTCAAAACCAAAGACTCTCAGCATTTCAATCCTCAAACATTCTTTTGTACGGCAGTAGTTTATTATGTTTTCTTCAATGTGGGGTACATTTCTGGCGATATCATTGTCATTATAATGTAAAATCGCTGTTGCATTTTGACCCTGTCTACCACCCCTTCCAATTTGTTGAATGTAATCAACAATATTACGGGGAGGTCTCCCATGGATAACTCTACTAACACTTGGAGAATCAAACCCCATACCAACACTTGATGTGCAGAAAACTAGTCTGATTTTTGGATTGTCTTTTCGGAGTTCATTTGTTGCATAACTTAAAACTTCCTCATCCTGTACAGAAAAAATGGTAATGAATTTGGTTGAACACAGGCCTGGATTATCAAATTTGTCCAAAGCATAAATCTGAGCTTGTGCACACCATTCAATGGGCATATACAACAATGTTACAGGAAACTGAGAACCCATGATGTACAATTCATCAACCAGGGGAACATAAACAGACTCTGCACATGCAATAATGTCATAGTTGGATAAAAAAGAATTACAGCACAAGAAAATATTTGGTTTATCAGGGTTTGCTATTATCAGCTTTGGCTTCTTCATATTCAGAAGGCCAGGAAGTTTGTCCAGAGCTCTTGCCGTCAGCGTTGCACTTAGGGCAATGGTAGGGCAAGATAGGAAGGTGGGCAGGGTGTCTATATGGCCAAAGGCCTTTCTGAAGTCTCTTGACCTGTAAAACAAAATAATAGGTTGTACACTTCAAATAACATACAGCCTTATTTTATTCAGTACAAAAAGGAAATATATTACATATGCAAATCACATACAAATTTCTACACCCCTACAACAACCACAATGATGAGGTAATTAAGGAGAGTTACTTGACTTTACCACATTCCACACTGGCATTAAACATCCTCCTTTATCTACAATAAAATCCTGTAACTGAAGGCTGCAACTATCAATTCTAACACAAATTACAGTATAAATACCATTGGTCTACTGTGTGACACTCATCAAATACCACTGCAAGAACATTTTGCTGAAATGCTCTGCTGTTCAACAGAGCATCTCCTTGTGATGTTGAAAACAAGGCCTCTGGATGACATAAGATCACATCATAGAGTCCAGATTCTATGTCTGCCAGTGAAGCATCAGTCTCACATTCCTAGAATAAACAAATGACACAATTCATCATTTACCTAATTACTTTAACCATATTTCATATTCTTAATCATATTTATATATTTGAAAATACCGTAACGCTATATTATTTTTCTTGAACAAATCAAATTCTTCAGACATTATAAAACATATTTCAACTTTTGACACATTACAAGACATTATATAAAATAACGTATTTGTAGGTTGACAAGGCAACAACAGTCAAAATAAAAACTTATGGATGAAGCAGTGGCGGTTTCATGGATCTGTCATGCCTAGGGTCAAAATTATAAGTCATATACATCAAGTAAACATCAATGAATTTATTTTCAGAAGGCGTAACTTGAGCTATACATAGATATGGAAAACCCATTTAAATTATTCTTGGGTGAATGGGTTTTTACCGGAACTATTTATAGACATTTTGACACGGGCATGGGCAAATTAATATTGCGATACTGCTATCTGTTCCCTTAATACACATAAACAAAGTTTTTGAAGTATTTTCAACTTTTACTTGCTCTTACGTATAATTTTGGCTGATAATAATAATTGTAAATAGATCTACTTACCATACAATATTCAGTGAAGTCATAATCATCTCGAAGGGTGGTCCCTTTACCGCTCACACTGAGCCTACATGCCTTAAGGCCACGCTTAGTTATGCTTATCGCCTGATCCCTCTGTATAATATTCAGGGGAGATATCACCAGGATAGATCCTGAATCATAACCTTTCTTTTGGCGAAGAAGCGGACCAAGCAGGTGAAATATTAAAGACTTGCCGTAACCTGTCGGAAGACAAACTATACAATCACTTTCTTCCGCGTAAATATACTGAAGAGCTTCCCTCTGATATGGTTTCAATATAACAGAATCACCATACAATTGCAAAATGTTATCTATATCGGATTGAAAGCTATCCATTTCCTTGTATGTGTCTGCGTGTTGTTTTGTTTACATTCACGGAAAGTAGTCCGTCTTTGGTCACGTGATATTTAAATCACGTGAATGACCTCCATCAACAAATGCGCCAATGTGAGTAGTCCGGTCACGTGATATGCAAATTAGCCTGTGGCAGTGATGTTATGTTAGTCATCGCTGTGCCGGAGTGTGGATCAAATGGTATTCGATTCCCGGAAATTTGCTGCGTATTAATACATACAAACATCGCTCACACCATTGTATTGTTACGTCGTCAGCTGTGATGACGTCATTAAAATCATATTGTGACGTAAAGTCCGAATGACGTCACAAATGAGCAGTTCCAGATGCTACCAATGGAGACAGCCGAAACGGCCGGCTAATGACATTTCACTGCTGTACCCGTACTCAATGTCAATGAGAGCAGACACAAAAAAACGTGTGTGGACCTTTCGGTTTACTTTTGTGTTTACAATGTCGATAAACATCATGTGTTGGCCAATTTCCGGGTGTTATTTAGGAGATAAACATCATGTGTTGGCCAATTTCCGGATGTTATTGAGTACTTGAAGCACGGGAATTCCCGTTTGATCACGTTTTTCAACCAATCAGATTAAAGAACACAGTGACTTTTGGTTTACAATGAGTATTTGAAGCACGGGAATATTCCATTTGAAACCAAATGAATTCCCGTGCTTCAAATGCTCAATAACACCCGGAAATTGGCCAACACATGATGTTTATCTCCTAACTGGCATGAGTATTCATTCATGGCATACTCGCAACTGGTCATCCATTATACACATTTATCATGGATGTTTCTGTCAATCTAATGATATAATCCTGTGTTCACAATAACAACTTCATCGTCAGTTTGATCAGTAAGTGCGATTATCTGCGATAGCTGGAGAAGGTATATAATACGGACTACAATAACAAATCATTCGGTGGCTGTCTAGTAAACTCGCCGTTTATTCACTCTTAAACTTTACTGTCTTCTACTTTGTTTAAATCTTTATGCTATTATGCCTTAGTTTAATCTATCGTACATCAACTATATGTCATATGGAACGTGGAATCCTTTCACGTATTTTTCAGATATACTATCCCAAAATAAAAACGCATAGGCCAGAAATCTGTTGCGAAAATGTATAACATGTATAACTCGTCCACAAATAGACTTTAGTACATGAACTTTTACATCAGTTTAGAAGATGGAAATGTCTATACAACCAAGTTGATAATTTTAGATAACGGAGACGTTGAGCGCGATGGTGACGACGTAGCACGGTCCCGAGGTCGGGTCTCCTGGCTCTCAGTCCAATCTCTCTCAACCTGTTCCGTACAGTTTGACCGGATATCCTCCGAAGTTCAGGCACCCTGACTGCTGTGCTCTCACCCGTGGCAGTACGAACACCCGGATGTACTGATCTTGGGCTGCAGTCTTCGAGAGAGTAATTAAACCGGCAGGACCATGTTTGATAACAGGGGCCTAGCTACTATTATAAAAATAACCCCGGGCATACACATGGTTATTGCTAAAAACGTTGCCCTCGATACTATCTAAATATAAAGCTTCGCAACCTATCAGGCTTACACGACAAAATTGGCTTGCTACGCGTCTGGATAAGACCTCTTTTCTTCTCCTCTGTTTTCTGTGTCTCTCGTTTTAAAATGAAGTTGTAGTAGTCTCCTTTTCTTTTCATGGTTACAGTTCGTTTAATGTTTCCAATCCAGTCTCATTCGAACTGAATGAAACAATCCAACACTCGGGTATTTCTACTATGTATTTTTTAACACCTTCGTCATCTTATTCTTCTTCCCACCGGCATTGTCAGATTGACTTCCCAATTCCCACAACATGGTGACCACAAGCTGCTTAGAGCCACCATATAGCACATAGCTCGCGGATGGATTTGATCTGTCTGATGGATCTTTTAGCTGGGCATTGGTGTTGATCAACGGGATGGATTGATTGGCTTAACTCATAACTCGAGGGTGGATCAGGACTCTGGAGTAGGGCTTGTCAGCCGCGCGAGGCGTTACTTCCGGTACTAAGCAGGTTCCCTGCTCCCCATGCGCGCGCCAACTTGCGATATGCGAGACGGCTCCCAGCTTACTTCCGGTACCAGATTTCCGGTGACAAGCGTATATTCCAAAAACAGTCAATCAAAAAAACTATTTTCATTGCGTCAAATACCTACAGTAAATCTTTTCACATGGAGTGATTGGCCATATTTGGACTTGACCTTTTCAGACATGATTCACACAGTTTCCTGTTTTTGAAGTGGTCCATGAATCTAAGATTGCGGTGTTAATGAACGACAGTTATCGCGATGTCCATTGGTCTGACGATCCCCGACCGCGTCATACCAAAAGACGTTAAAATATGGTACTTGTTGGTCCCTGCCTGGCGCTCGGCATTAATGGGTACAACAAGGACTGGTCGGCTCGGAGTCAGTATAATGTTTCTGAGTGGGGTATTCATGCTTCACTGCGGCATGGTATCTCAGTGGGCTAGCACTATAAAACCAGCTTCAGTCTGGGCTAGTACAAGCAGCCGCACATACACATACACACGCATGCACGTCGTCATATGAGCGAAATATTCTCAAGCACGACGTTAAACCCAATTTCACCTCACCAGCCGACCCGTGAGGATCCGGGTCAGAATTGGTCTTCAGCATGCTTGTCGTAAGAGGCGATTAACGGGATTGGGTGGTCAGGCTCGCTGACTTGGTTGACACCTGTCATCGCAAAGAAATTTCTTTTGCTGTCCTTTATTGTTGTCAAATACCTTGGGAAAAAATATCGGAATTGTAACTGACCGGAACTGAGCACGTGTAATACTGATGTCCTGGCGATAACTGTTATGCGGCGATAATTGCTCGCTAGCCAATATACTACGGGTTCCAGCTATTTAACCTTCCTACCGTTATTTCGTCAATATATGTATTACACATAATAAGGAATGCAGCATAGATTTTGAAAGAGTGTCAAACATTGGTTTCGGACATAAATAAAATCATGTACATTGTATGAGTATAATTTCGTGTCGTTCTTATTAAATATGTGTAATCTGACTGGATTCATGTGGATTTTTTTTATCAATACTAGTAATCATAAAGAACTTCCAGCATAGTCCAATGTGCGATTCCGGTTGTATCATTAGCATCTGTTCAGGAATCACTATCGAATAGTGATGATACCGATGCTACGAACGAAGATGAGTGCATCCTGCCCCAGCGGGTGGCAACCGTGAAGAACACGTGCAAAGGTAAGTCACACGTTCAATGAAATATGAACATATGCAAGTCTACATAGGGAATTGCATCGGTCGTTATTTTCCCAACTTACATAAGTTAAAACGTTTTGAATTTGTTTTTCAAAAACTAGGCATATTGTAACGCTCATTAAACAACTTTTGTGCAAGAGCCGCGTGGAGCTTTAAATATTCATGGAAAGGAACGCGCAACTGCATTTGGATCTCTTTTTGGTGTCTCCTAATCCTTTACGAAATGTTATAAATACAGATAGATTGCCGGGCATGGATTCAGATAATTTTCAATGACACTGTCATTATCTGAAACACAAACAGACAAAGAATTTTGGAAATTTAATAGTTCTCTATTATACGATGAAGCTTACGTCAAACTAGTTAAAGAAACAATTAAAAAGACGTTAGATAAGTATGAAAACAAAGAAAAAGAGGCAAGAGAAGAGTACATCATTGATGATCAATTGCTTTGAGAAATGATTCTGTTAGAGATTAGAGGATCACAATTTACTATACTGCTACAAAAAGGAAAAATAAAAATAATATACATGTACTTAGAATCAAAACTATATGAATTTGAAACAGAACTTGATAAAACACAAGGGATGAGTATAAAAAGGGATATTCTTTATTCTATAAATAATATACAAGCAGAACTTGATAACACCCAAGGGATGGGTATAAAAGGGATATTCTCTATTCTATAAATAATATACAAGCAGAACTTGATAAAACACAAGGGATGGGTATAAAAGGGATATTCTCTATTCTATAAATAATATACAAGCAGAACTTGATAAAACACAAGGGATGGGTATAAAAGGGATATTCTCTATTCTATAAATAATATACAAGCAGAACTTGATAACACCCAAGGGATGGGTATAAAAAGGGATATTCTCTATTCTATAAATAATATAGAAACAGAACTTGATAAAACACAAGGGATGGGTATAAAAGGGATATTCTCTATTCTATAAATAATATACAAGCAGAACTTGATAACACCCAAGGGATGGGTATAAAAAGGGATATTCTCTATTCTATAAATAATATACAAGCAGAACTTGATAACACACAAGGGATGGGTATAAAAAGGGATATTCTCTATTCTATAAATAATATAGAAACAGAACTTGATAAAACACACGGGATGGGTATAAAAGGGATATTCTCTATTCTATAAATAATATACAAAGCAGAACTTGATAACACCCAAAGGGATGGGTATAAAAGGGATATTCTCTATTCTATAAATAATATAATAGCAGAACTCGATAAAACACAAGGGATGGGTATCAAAGGGATATTCTCTATTCTATAAATAATATACAAGCAGAACTTGATAAAACTTGGGTATAAAAGGGATATTCTCTATTCTAAAATAATATACATGGGGATGGGTATAAAAAGGATATTCTCTATTCTATAAATAATATACAAGCAGAACTTGATAAAACACAAGGGATGGGTATAAAAAGGGATATTCTCTATTCTATAAATAATATAGAAACAGAACTTGATAAAACACAAGGGATGGGTATAAAAAGGGATATTCTCTATTCTATAAATAATATACAAGCAGAACTTGATAAAACACAAGGGATGGGTATAAAAAGGGATATTCTCTATTCTATAAATAATATACAAGCAGAACTTGATAACACCCAAGGGATGGGTATAAAAAGGGATATTCTCTATTCTATAAATAATATAGAAACAGAACTTGATAAAACACAAGGGATGGGTATAAAAAGGGATATTCTCTATTCTATAAATAATATACAAGCAGAACTTGATAACACCCAAGGGATGGGTATAAAAAGGGATATTCTCTATTCTATAAATAATATAGAAACAGAACTTGATAAAACACAAGGGATGGG